GTGCTGTGACATCATAGCTCACAGCAACCTCAAACTCTTGGGCTCAAGTGATTCTCTTGCCTCAGCCCCCCAAGTAGCTGGGACTACAGGTACCCAGTACAAGGGCCCAGTATTGTTTCTTGCAGTTGTCATTGTTGGTTAGCTGGCCCAGGCCAAGTTTGAACCTGCCACCTTCGGTGTATGTGGCTGTTGCCATAACCACTGTGCTACAGGCACCGAGCCATATCTTTGAAATTCTGAAGTTGGCCAGGTTCAGTGGCTCATACCTGCAATCCTAGCACTCTGGGAGGCTGAGGCAGATGGATTGCTTGAGCTCAGGAATTTTCTACTAAAAGTAGAAAAAACTAGCTGCACATGGTGGTGCATGCCTGTATTCATGGCTACTTAGGAGGCTGAGGCAAGAGGATTGCCTCAAGCCCAAGAGTTTGATGTTTCTGTGAGCTGTGATGCCATGGCATTCTACCCAGGGTGATAGTAAGACTCTGTCCAAAAAAAAAGAAACTCTGAAGTCTCCTCCATAATCCACTGTATCTGGGCTAGACCCATAGAGAATCACAGTTGGAGTCTTGAGACCCCCACACCCTCACTCTTACTCCTCAGGGCCCACAATCATCCCTCTAGCCATGGCGTTACGGCTCACAGCAACCTCAGACTCTCAGGCTTACATGATTCTCTTGCCTTAGCCTCCCAAGTAGCTGGGACTACAGATGCCTGCCACAACACCCAGCTATTTTTGTTGTTGCAGTTGTCATTGTTTTAGCAGGCTTGGGCCAGGTTTTAATACACCAGTTCTGGTATATGTGGCCAGCGCCCTACCCACTGAGCTATAGGCGCCACCCAGAATATTCTTCTTAGAATCCTTGAAGGGCCCTGCTAAGGCCTAAGGTGAGGTTCATGGGCTGTGACTCCTCAGGGCAGAAGATGCTGCAGAGCATTACCTGGACCTGCTGGCCCTGTTGCTGGATGACTCGGAGCCCAGGGTGAGTATGTCTTTAAGCTTCTCTGCAATAGGGTGGAAGGAGTGGGGTTCCCTTTGAAGTAGAGCAAGACTATTGCTTTCTGTTTTTCTCTCTATTGTTGTATCTGTCCAATCTGGGGAGCAGGTCTTTGCATGGTACCAGAGCCTGGTAAGAACTTTGGGATGGTAGCTCTTGCCTCTTCAAGATACTGCCTCTTCTTCCCTCCCCAGATTTCCCCACTCCCCTCCCCTCCAGGACCCTGTATGCCTGAGGTATTTTTGGAGGCAGCGGCAGCACTGATTCAAGCAGGCCGAGCTCAGGATGCCTTGACAGTATGTGAGGAGCTGCTCAGCCGCACATCATTTCTGCTACCCAAGATGTCCCATCTATGGAAAGATGCCAGAAAAGGAATCAAGGAACTGCCACATTGCCCACTCTGGATCTCTGCCACCCACCTGCTTCAGGGCCAGGCCTGGGTACAGCTCGGAGTCCAAAAAGAAGCAGTTAATGAATTTAGCTGGTGAGCTCAGGGTCCTGGGGAAGGTGTGGAAGGATGATTTTCTGTCAGAGTTTCTGAGGTTGATCCTATTTCACCCTATTCCATGTCCTACTTCAGGTGCTTAGAGCTACTCTTCCGGACCACACCTAAGAACAAAGAACAAGGTGATATAGACTATTTTCCTTTTACCTACTAAGGTGATGGTGGTAGAAGTGGGTTCCCTTTTGATGCCTCCCTGCCCAGGAAGAGACTTAAGAGAAAGGGATTCTGGACAAAAGAGAGAGGAGGATTTGGGATTTTTTGACTATGAGGCTGGGAAGACTCTTCTTCACTTTAGAAGTCATCCCTAGGAGCAGCTTCCACACCCAACTGTGAGCAGGGGTGTAAGTCAGATGTGGCACTGCAGCAGCTTCGTGCAGCCGCCCTGATTAGTCGTGGACTGGAATGGGTAGCCAGTGGCCAGGATACCAAAGCCCTACAGGACTTCCTCCTCAGTGTGCAGATATGCCCAGGTATGTATACTTGCATGACATCAACTATGTACAGATGTACAAGGATAGTGAGGCCCACAGGAGAGGTGCTTGGGCCTAAGTATAAGGGTACCCAGTCAGGAGGGGTGACTGTGGTTGTACTGTATATGCCTAGGGATATACTTAGGTGTGCACATACAAACATATTCAAGTGTGTTTGCAGGGCTCCCATGAGTCCCCTGGTCTTCTCTGTGTCCTCAGACACAAAGACTGTGACTGCTGGGTGGATTGGGTAGGAGCATAGCCAGCTAAGCTCTTTGTACTGGGCAGATGGTGGACCTTGGGATAGTATAGGTTGTGAACAATCTACCTCTGCTTACATGTGTGAGTGTAAGCAAGATAATTTCCCTCTCTAGGCCTCAGTTTCACTTTTTTTTTTGAGACAATCTTGCTATGTCATCCTCAGTAGAGTGCTGTGGCATCACAGCTCACAGCAACCTCAAACTCCTGGGCTTAAGCAATTCTCTTCCCTCAGCCTCCCAAGTAGCTGGGACTACAGGCACCCCCCACAATGCCTGGCTATTATTTTGTTGTCATTGTTCTTGCAGTTGTCATTGTTTAGCAGGCCCAGGCTGGGCTCAAACCCACCAGCCTTGGTGCATGTGGCTAGTGCCCTACCCACTGAGCTACAGGCACCGCCAGTTTCCCTTTTTATAACAGGATGACTAAGGCTATGTCAAGTTTTAAGACTCTGTACTCTGGGGTGGGGCTACAGGTAATCGAGATGCTTCCATTCACCTGCTTCAGACTCTGAGGAGGCTGGATCGGAGGGATGAGGCCACTGGTCTCTGGAGGAGCTTGGAGGCCCAAACTAAGCTGCCACAGAAAGATGCTTCATGGTAGGGCTGAGGCCTGCTGTCATGGGGCTGAGGGAAAGTTGGCTTCCTAGAGTGCTTGGGACCTATTGGTGGGTGGTGAGAAGTGAAAGGGAGGATATGGCTGCCCAACCTTCTAACAGTCTGATTTTTAAGCATCACTCTTCTTGCTTTCCAGGTCTCTTCCCCTGTACCTAGAAACATGTTTTAACTGGATCCGTCCCTCTGATTATGGAACCCTCCTTGAAGAGTTTCAGACATCTCTGCTGGAGCCTCAGGACCTGTAGCTGCCACATTTCCAAGAGCTTAAACTGGGGCCCCAGTGGGCTATCTCTCTGTGAAGGAGGGCTTTTTGCTTTACCATCCTTGGGGAGTGTGGCTGGAATTGACATTCATGTATAAGTCCTGCACTGATATGGTTGGTGGTAGTCCTGCAAAATTTGGCCTAGTTACTATCATTCTAGTTCTGGAGGAAACACTGCCACCAAATTATTGACTTGCCTGTGACACCTTTTTTCTTGTTTCCTCTTTTCTTGTGTTGAGTAAAATCTCATATTTATCTCTTGTCTGTGTACTACATATACTTGAAAGGGAAGGTTGTCTGGTTGAGTGCTAATTGTCTAAGATGCCCTTTCCCAACAACATCTGCCTTATCAGTTTGAGATCTGAGAATGAGGAAAGGGCTACATGCATCCTTACTCAGGAAGGAGGGGCTTTAGTCCTTTCCACTGCCTACAAGTAGAGCTCCAAAGTCCAGGATCCTGTGCTAGGTGACAGAGTGAATGGAGTTAGATCTGGAGGATGGTCTATGCAGGCTTCTCCTGAAAGAGAAGACGGATGGGCAGAGTGACTCCTCCCTCCCTCATCCAAAATGCTGGAAACTGGACTGATCTCAGTCAAATTTATCTGTATGGATAGGGGGTGAAAAGTGAATTGAGGCAGCATGTCAGCAAGAGCTGCCTGTTGACTATAATCAGGGTCAGCTATCATTTTGAACCCTAGGACTTGGAGTTCCAGCGTGCGATTTTCTTGCTGATTGGGCTTTATTCTGTCCGAGCTGTGTTCTGTGGTTCCCTGTGACCTGTCTGGATTGATTGTCCTCTTTTGTTCAGTCATTAATATTAATTCCCTATAGTCAGGGGAGCATGGGCTGAGAAACTGCATGGCCGTGGGATTGGGGCTACCGGGGGTGCTATGACAATAGGGTAGAGTGGATTAAGAGCTGGGGTGCTAGGCTAGGTGCCTGTGGCTCAAGAGGCTAAGGCGCCAGCCACTTACACCTAATGTGGCGGGTTCGAATCCAGCCCGCCTGCCAAACAACAATGAC